GATTTGCATCTGTTTGCATGATAGAGAAACTGTTAAATAAGAAATGATGGAGCAAACAGTGCCGTGACCACACTCGCGTAAAAACTCGTAGCTACAATCTGATCTGAATTAAAATGCTTTGGGTGGTGGGTGCTGGTTAAGGAAAGAGGGGCAACAAAGATGCAGAGAGAGCAGCTGGAGACTGGAGGGGAGAGTCCGGTACAATGGCCATCTGACAGAAACATACAGCACAACACAGCAGCAACAGAAAGGAAACCTCTCCAACATTTACCTATGTTTTTCCCATTTGCCCACATTAGCGCTCACACCAAGGTTACAGCTGCACATGGACCAGTCTGGCAGAAAAGCTGGACTCTGACAAATGGGAGCTATTTCAAGGACTCCCCAAAATCCCTGGCAGACACTCCAGTACACTACATTAGAGGTTATATTGACCTATTCCTGTTTCCCCCATTTTCCTTTTTATAAGCTTTGATGTAACAGTTCTCTAATGGACAAGCAGCAAAAAAAATCCATGGCCTCAGTTTAGCCTTCACTGTCAAGACAGAAACCTGGCCCAACCCTTTCCCAATGAAAAGACCTTCTGTGACCACTAACCTATGACTAAATGAAGAGTCTAACATCTGGGGAAAATTCATTTGTGCTTGTTTTTACCAAGAGTTAGATGAGAAGATAAGTACGTAGTTCTCATATTCGTTAATAAATGTGTAGCTTGAGCTAGCAGCTGGTTAGCTTAGCTCAGCATAAAGACTGGATACAAAGGGGAGCAGAAAATCTGGCTGTGCAAAGGTAAGAATACCCATCTCCCAGTTGTCAGTAAGGCTCACAAGTTAACACACCTACTGTAACTGTCCAAATGACAGGTTTCATTTGAGATGTAGGTTTATGTTCATTGTTAATGGTGAGAGTATTACTTTTGTTGGTAAAGAGGTTTATTTTGAAGGGCAGTGTGTGTCAACCAGTTGAGTGAAGGGCTCCAAATGTGGCATTATGGGACAGAGACAACATGGACAGAGAAGAGACATACAGCCCCAAGTTATTCTGCACATGGTTCTAGAGGCACAAATGGTAAAATGTTTTTGTGTTGTATTTGTGCTTGTTGTTCATGTGCCTATATTTGTATATATTTAAGATTCTTTACTGTTACTTTGTAGTTTTCACGGTGTCTGACGAGCAGAGACAGAGAAAAATAAAACATTCTAAAGACATCTGTATGAAGCGTGGTGATCCTTAAACTAGAACTAGACCGGTGCAGCTACACCTACTGAGCTAATTTAATTAAGCTGCTGGCTCCAGCTACATTTTTAACCATTTAGAAATGAGATTGGTGCCCATCTTCCCCTCCTATTTTTAGCAAGAAAGCAAATAATCCTAATTCCCAAAATGTTGGGGTAATCATTTGATGCCTTGTTTAAAAATTCTCTCATAAAAAGGGTCAACTCTACCAAGCAGCTACCAAAACTATCAGTGTGTAGGCCTACACACTGATATATTCACAAGCTCAACAAGCATCAACAACTGAACTGAAAATGTAAGTGCTCCACTGTCCTTGTGAAAAAACACTTCACACACAGACAGCATGTGTTTTGTATCTGCTAACAAGAGGTAAGAATCACATTCTGCGGTGTGATTTCGCATCATATAGACAAACCACTGACGACACCTCGGAGCAGAGAAATGCAACAGGCTTGGAACGAGGTGTTAGAGCTGAACGCAGACGGGCGCTTTGCTAAAGCAGCAGAATATGAAGAAGACTTTCTGCATATAGTCAGTCGCTCTTGTGCCTTTGGGATCATCTACTCAAACATCTCATCAGTCACTGACAAACAGCCAGGCGAGTGAAGGAGACAAACAGCAGCAAATCTAAAGCAGGCTATCATGACAGCAGCACCACTGACTTCCTTTCTGCAAGCGCATTAACGTCACAGGAAAAAAAAAAAGAAAATCACCCAGAGCTGGGAGTGACCCCCCCAGGCTGAGACAGCTGGGTGGGTCCAGACTGGTCACTAAAGGTTTGCTTGTGTCAAGGTGGGGGGAGCGGTGATGGAGCAGATCCCCACTGTGGGAAAAACAGACAGAGCAGAGTCCTGCTGTCAGCTCTTTGTGTGTTAACTAATCACAGGCCCCACGCTGAGAGCCGTCACTGTGGCCCTGCAGGGGGGGGGGGCCACTTGGCTGGCAGGGCCTGTGTAGAGGGGGGGCACTCCAACCTGGTTATCACTTGGCTGGGATAAGTCGGGGGGCAGACACCAACAGGCAGGTTCCATTCAAAGATTATCAACAAATCAGAAGGAAATCAATCAGCATACTGAACTTCACTCCTGCCCCACCGGCCCAAAAAAGTACTTGCTAGTGCTGTTTGCCTCCTCAGCTCCTCATTATATGTTCAGCTTTTAAACTGTGCCTCCTTTTAGATCTATTATGTTATTTAATACCACTTCCACGTATAGTTTGTTAGGTATTTTTAGTCAGATAGAGAGAAGAGTTGATGACTGTCAGCAGACAGGGTGTTTAATATTATTATTATGACGTGTATAACTGTAGCCTTAGCCATAATATGTTCTTATGTTTAAGTCACGACATGTTCTAGAAGTCTGTGAGAATGTTTTTAGTTACACACCACTTAATCAACAGACACACACACATTGATTTGCTTCATGTTTTGACTACTCCTATGACCAGCTGCAGAGCTGGTAACAGAGACGTCTCGGTTGACGTTTCTGTGTAGTATGGGGCTAGCCCAACCGAGGGGATATAATGTATAGGCCTGGTGGGTTCAGGGTCTTTCATCTTACATCTGCCTGCGAGCAGTTTGGAGGTGCAAGATACCTGAGCGTGTAATGTTAATTTTACCTGTGATCCTTTGAATAAATCAGCACTGTTTTGAAGTTACTTGGACTGTCTCGTCTCTCAGAGTTAGCAATGGTAACAAGAACCATATCTTGCAAGTTTTAATGGGTTTTGGGGTCAAGAGTGGTAGATGTAGTAAGACCACAGTGGAAAAAATACTATTTATTAGCATCAAAATATACCTGAAGCAGCAAAAGCGGTCATTATACAGAAGAGCCCATTTCACATTAAAGTATATGATATTACCAGATTATAATGCATCAATAATTATAATCCAATAAAATGTATATATTATATATAGTTGGTGCTAATGTTAAACTACCCTATATACTTCAAAAAATACAATATTTGCCTCTGGAACATAGTATAATGACCTTTAATAGCCACATAGTCAGTTGCACGTCAGCCTGCAGTCACGTCTCCCTCCCTGCATGTGTCAGTTCCGACTAGTGACTTCATCTGTGTTTTTCTCAAGGATATCCCTCTCCTTTCTAGGCACAATGAGGCTGCTTCCTGTTTAGAGAAGGCTCAGTTCGGTCCTGCTCTCACCCACCCTCATCCTGCGTCATGTCCCCATTGTGCTGTCAGGGTCCCTGCAAAGTCACCAGTGGCTCTGGAGGATGCTCACTGACTGTTGTAGTAACACAGTCTAGTGAAAGAAGTAAGAATGTTCCTTGTACTGCATGAACAAAAGACAGGTGGTGTTCATTTGTGCTGTAGGAGGCAGGAGAGAATAATACCACAAAGTACAAGGTTTGTCTCTGGCTTGCAGTAAAGTCACAGCATGAAGCAGCAGCAGCACATGGAGACACTCGGGTACAGTTTTGTGGTATTTGTACTTAAGCAGACCACTTTCCACTGCTGTCATTTAAACTGAAAAGTAAAAACTTTCAGTTTCAGGAGGGGTGCACTGACTGCACTCTGTTACTCAGTAATGTGCAGATTAATTTCTTTTAGCTGTTTGGTTTACAAAATTTCAAAATAAATAAATAAATACAAAAGCAACTTCCCTAAACCCATAGAAATCCAGTTCACACTCATTTGAAACAGTGTCTCCATGTCTCTGTTGTGCACAACTTTGATTTGCACACAAAAACCCTGGTGGAAATGCTGGAAAGTCTATAAAAAAATTTAAAAAAAAGTTGAAATATCACAATGAAGTGTTCACGCATGGCTGACGTGGAAATAGCAGCAGATGAAAACATCACTTGCGGCACATTCTTCAAATTAAATGCAGGAATCTGAGAATGTGGAAAAGTGACTGAAACTATTAATTGGTTATAGAAATGATTCCTGTTGATCAACAAATGTCCTTATCTGCAGCCGGCAGGTAAAGTCTGCTGATAAGACTGGATGTCTCCAGCTGTGTTTGCTGCTGGGACAGTGGATGTGGGGACACTAATGAGATTTAAAGGGTCATTTAATCCCAGCCAGGATAAAAACACTAGCAATTCAAATTTCCTTAGTGAGACACAAATACAGAGCTGTTTAAAAGGAAGACACATCGTATCAATGCAGCTTTAAAACGCTTAGGATTCTGTTTGACAGGAGAAAAGGGATAGTTTGTCTATGATCAAATTACATCTGGGCTCCTGACTAATGATGCAGGGCAGCCTGTATCAGCTGATCAGAGCTCACAGCATCCAGGCTGTTCACTGGGTGTAGACAGAACTTTAACAACTCCTGATGAGGACACTGGACTTTCTGTGCACCACTTACTATCAAGAACAGAGAATCTGTCTTAAAACTGGAGGAGATCTTTAAGAACAAAAAAAGACATACGTGGCATTTTTCTGTGTTGCCAGCAAAAACTCAATTAGAGAAGAAGCAGACGTGTGCAAGTCATTTTCTAGCAGCTGGGGTTTGCAGCCTGCAGAACAGGCCTGGCCACACCACGCTCACCGTTAGCTGATGAACGTGTGGCTGAGTGAGCAGTTTCTCTTTGATTAACCGTGGGAAAGATTATGACAGTGTGCCAAACCTGAGGAGCAACAAGGAGCTGCCACAGCTACACTGCACAGCAGACTGAGGCCGAACTGATCAACAACACAAACGTGTCGTCCAAAGCGGGACAAAGCCCCCGGAGGGGTCAGAGGAAGGAGAGAGGGGAGCAGCTCGTAAGCGTTAAGGACCAGCCCTCTGCGTGTTCAGTCCTGCCCTGCTCCCACGCCGCGCTCACATGTCGCTGTGTGCGCGCAGCCCACAGCCTCCGCTCCTGCTGCACAGACCCTCTGTGGATATTTCTGCTCCTTTACAGGTGAGTGGGACGAGTTTTAGCCTTTTACCGGGCCCGACAGTGTGGCTACGGGCTGCTGTGTCTGCTCGTAGTGAACACTGGTCATCTGGACTCGGGCAGAGTCTCTGGAGGATCCCGACGGCAGCCTGTGGTTCACTTGTCAAGAAGCTCGGTGTAGTTGTCTGGAGTTAGATTGGCTCTGTACTTGGTAACACTTTACAACAGAGTAGTGGAAAGTCACTTAGTGCATTTACCTAATTACAGTGTGAAGAAACGTTGAGTATTTCCACTATACGCTACTTTATACACTTCAGAGGTTAACATTTATGTGCAGCTGTATTTACCTTTCAAACTGTTTCTGTAGTAAAAATTCTAGCATGTTAAAAACTGCAAACATTTTATCTCTAAACTGTTCACGTGGTTTTTTAGTTAAGTCGTTTTTTTTAGCCAACATTTGGTCAAAAACTGTGCAGAAGTTTTATTTCTCTCCTCAGACTTTGTCCACTTTATATTTATGTCGTTTTAAAAGTAGCTGCACTTTCACCGGGTCCATTTAAATGTTGACAGGGTCAAACTGTGATAATGTGTCTGTACCTTTAAAGTACTTTTTCTTGATAAGACTTGTGAACTCAGGAGCATTTCTACACGGCAGTACTGGTACTTCTGATAATTAATGGACCTTTAATGAGAAGCTCCTGAGTAACTGACACAGTAACGATGAGACTGGGACACTTTATTAATGACTCATAAGGTAATGATCAGCTCCTAATGATCGGGGAAACGTTCGATTAACTCTGAATCATCCACTATTGGACCAATTAGGGTCCAATTCAACGTCATTGCTTTGGATTTTTCTCCGTGTCCCAGTTTATTTTAGAGTATTTATTATCTTTGCCAGATATTAAAACGTTTTGTAAAAATGTAAACACACTTCATGAAAGCACGGATCCGTCAAATCTTTAAGCTTGTGTTTAACACTGTGGATTAAATGTTGAGGGGCAGGAAAACTCAGACTTTGAATGTGTTTTCTCGTGTTCAAGCTCAAAGCTTTAGTCGTGTAAAATAAGTCACACTTCCTGTATCAGAGACCCCTACTCAAATACTGATACAATCAACACTGTAATTATCTCCATGCACTGTGGATAATGGAGAGAATACTTTTGTTCATAACTGCACTTCCTGACATTACTGATCATGTTTCTTTCATCAACTTTCTCCTCGTTTCTGCAGACTGGCTCTCATCGCCTCCTAGTGTTTAGTCTGGTCAGAGAAAAGTTGATTTTTGGAGGAAAATTCTCAAAGCACAGGAAATCCAGTTTGATAGCTCCAGAGGAACTTTTTGCCTGCGGATCACAGCCGTCACCTTCTCCGTACCAGAGAAAGAAGAATGCACAGCCACAGGACTGCATGACACCTTATCCGGGGACCTAATTCCAAAAGCACGACAGGAAAACAAAAATAAAGAGCGTCTACATCTGGGAAACCAAACATGATGTTCCCTCAGTACCACAGTAATGCTGTCATCATAGAGCACTACAATTACACAGGCAAACTGAAGGAGAACAGGTACAAAGAAGGACTCAAGCCAGAGTCCATAGCGTTCCTGCTGGTGTGCCTGCTGATTGTCGCAGAAAATGCTGTGGTGCTTCTGGCCATCTGGAAGAACAAGAAGTTCCACGTGCCCATGTACTACTTACTGGGCAACCTGACACTGTCGGACCTGCTGGCAGGTTTCACCTACATGGTGAACATCGTGACGTCAGGCGCCCACACTTTAAAGATGACCCCGGTGCTGTGGTTCCTGAGGGAGGGGGGTGTATTCATCATGCTGGCCGCCTCCATCATCAGTCTGCTGGCCATCGCCATAGAGCGCCATGTCACTATGGTGAGGATGAAGCCGTACCAGGGGGACAAACAGGGCCGGATGTTTGCTCTGATTGGAGCGAGCTGGGTGCTGTCAGTGCTCCTGGGCATCCTGCCTGTGCTGGGCTGGAACTGTATAGGACAGCTGGACCGGTGCTCCACTGTCCTCCCCCTCTACGCCAAGAGCTACATCCTCTTCTGCATCACCATCTTCAGCACCATCCTCTTGTCCATTGTGGTGCTGTATGTCCGCATCTTCCGTATTGTCAAATCCAACACCCAGCGCTTTGCTTCGGTTCCACAGCGCAAAGGCCTTTACCGCAAGTCCCAGAAGTACATGGCCCTGCTGAAGACGGTCACCATAGTCCTGGGAGTCTTCATCGCCTGTTGGCTGCCCCTCTTCATCTTCCTGCTGCTGGACTTCTGCTGTCCAGCCAACAAATGTGATGTGCTCTTTAAGGTAGACTATTTCCTGGGCATCGCCATGTTCAACTCCCTCCTGAATCCCATCATCTACACCCTGACCAGCAAGGACATGAAGAGGGCCATCTTCAGGCTGCTCTGCCGACACTGCCTCCTAAAAAAGGACGGACAAGTGAAACAAAACTGGATGCACTTTCTGGAGTGGAGCACCAGTAGGGCTGATGGAGCCTCTCACAGACTGGAGGGACTGGAGACCACAGTCTGTTCCGGTAACTTCTCACCCTCGACCATCAAAGCCATTTACCCCCAGATATATAGGACGTGACACAGCAGCTCTTTTTGCCCAGAGACCAAGCATTCAGACAGTTGGACCACGACCGTGGCCAGGACACTTCTGTTGAAATGGAGCTGCACAGCTGAGCAAACACACGAGAGCAGCTGAGGTCTGAGGTTTGCACTCTGACATTTTTTTTAGTATTAAGCTCCATGTAAGTGATTAATGTCCCAACTGGGAGGAAGACACTTTTCCAACGGTGTCATGAAAAACAAGTTTCTTGTGAAAAAACTAGCATTACATTTGTGTTGTAGACTAAACACGGCCAGTATTTGTCAGAAGAGACTCCTTCAGCATTTGCACACAGTTGAAATCAAAGACTGTGCAGACAAACGCAGCCCATGATCCTGCTCCTCCAGCTGATAAGACCAAGCATCAGATTTGTCCCCATCTCCTCTCCCTGTGTAGTACATAATATGTTGCTACTAACACGGAGCACCCACGCCCAAACCCATCTAATCTCTGCCATGTGGATTTTGGTCAGCAGCGGTGCTGGGTAGAGGTCTCCTCCAACAACATCAGAGGCTCAGCGGTCTGGAAACGCACTGACATCATATGGACGATGGTTGTGCTGGGTGGTTTGCAGGCTCGGAGGCCCCTTTAACATATGTAGCAATACATGATGAATGACTAACGGCAATAAACGTCGACGGCAGAGGCTTGTTGACGTCTTCTTGGTTTAACAGGCTAGAATATCGCAGTGATGAGCCACAGCTTGTGGTCTTCAGAGCTTTTTTTAGTTGGAATACATTTCATCTTCATACCATGAACTGATGTTCGTTGATTACCTTGTGAGAGGGTGCAGATGTAATCTTGTTCCAGATGACAGAAATATGTCTCAGGCTCTGAGGCGCCGGGGAATTTCACCGTGGTGACGGTGGCATTAAAATGTCCTAACTGTAGCCTTGTACATACATGTGACAAGAAGAATATATTTAGATTTTTTTAGTGTGCTTTGTAAACATCAATAGCATTTTGAGCGTTTGTATTGTAAAAACCTCTTAAATTAAAATGTCAGTTTTATATATGCACTGAATAAATATATGTGAAAGATGTTCAGGCGGTTTGTACTTTGGTTATGTCAAGAAATGAGTCACAAAGATTTTTCTTTCTCAGAGGTTTCATCTCTCACTGATCGACGTCAGCCCCGTTTCTCAGGATAATCAGAATATATGTACATTGTGTTTACACAAAGTACTGTAGGATAAACCACTGAAAAAAATCAAAATGTAAAGTACATTATAAATATTACTGGCCTTATTAAACTGGAAGTACTGAGTCAAAATGTTTTGATGTAAACACAAAAAGCCTTAACTAGTGCTCTGCAAATACTGAAACTAGGAACTAGAGGAAGACATGAGTCCTTTCTTTCCCTCTTTATTTTTTATTAAAAGTGAAGTTTTGCCCCAAATGCACACAAATTTATGAATGCATATGTGCTATGTGAATAAATACGGAGTGCCCCTGCAATAAATTACATCTGTGTGGAGCTTAAAGAAGCTCTTAATTCAGCAATTGCTAAGGTTGTAGATAAGGTTTAAATACAACACCTCCACTAAGGCTTCTCAACGTCTATCATAAGATACCAGAACACACGTTAGAGCTGTAAGCACATACCAGGCTAAGCATTCACATTAAGTGCAACTTTGCCAGCAGTATTAACACTGAACTGCCTACATTAAAACCTTATTTGCCTTGAAAAAGGCCTGCACACAAAAAAAGACCTGGCCCTACCCTACAAACACCTCTTTCATGCAAACCACTTGTTAAAACCGCATTATATATGACACGGTGAGGTACAGATAAAGTCTCCAAAACAAAACCTCTTACTTTGTTTACCGTAAGGAAACCACATATTGGTGCATGGTTCTTACAACTCAAGTGTTTCACAGCTTGAGCCTCCTTCAGCATCATCTGTCACCCTACCCACTCTTAACCACCTGCCATGTTGCAGGAGCGTGCACTCGAGCCCCCTCTTCAAAGGAGGAAGTTTCACTTCTCACTAGGGAACAAGTAGATGATGAACCACCAGAGCTGCCTTGCAATGCAGAGCCAGTACGGAGGCACAATCAGTAAAAATTTATATGATCGTCAGCATCTCTGTCTCATTAGGTGACGACAGCAGGAACGTGCCGGTTAATTTCTAAATGCATTGGCAACGAAGTGCCAAACAACAACATGTGTCTACAGTGTTCACCGGCAAACAACAATGTGACTTTTTAAAACCTTAAAATGTCTCCAAACCCCTCTGCCAAGGTGAACCATGCTGATAGAGCCTGAGTTTCAACCGGTTAACTCAACTACGACATAGCAACTGTGATTTGATTTTAAAATATATATATCATCATATTTAGCTTAGGACCACAACAAAATAGGAAGATGTTAGTCTTAACTAGTGACCAGTGTGCTCTCCATTCGCCTGAGCCACATGTTCCAAGTGACCTGCAGACCACGCTGAGACGAGATCAGTCCCTGTGCCTGCAGGTGTTAGTTTGTTTTTAAGTCACTCCACACGCCAAGTCTACATATCCACATTAAGACTACACCAACCCTGCTGATTTACAGTGAAGGAGCTTCCAATTACTCAGAGTTAGGTTGTGTCTTCACGGTTGTTTCCTTGACGTATTCTGTTTTTATTCATAATGTTGTGCAGCAATTTGGTCAGCATTGCTGCTTTTAACTGTGCCTGTAAATGAAATGACTACATTAATAATAATAATGTAATAATTTAACATATTAATTTAAAAGGAAACCTAAAACCTTTGTTTTCTCAGGACTGTGACTCATCTTTTTATTTATTTTGACTGTTTGTGTGCTGATGCGGTTTTCACTTCTTGTTGTACTTCCTTGTTATTCGAGCTTTGTTTTGCTCTAACTGTAAAGTTGATCCAACGGCTCTGCAGCGACATCTAGTGACTGACACGCTGCTAACACTACAAGATTAAATACATTACAGAGTAACCAATAATCTAAACATTTGAGGTATTTAATTTTAAACAATAAAATGTATAGAACAAAAAAAAAAAACCAAACACCTTTACAGACCAATATAATGTACATAACATTTCTGAACACACCAACATCCTCATCTACCATTCAGTGCTGACGAAGCCCCACAACGTGTCGCTCACGTCACTCTGAGGTCGCAGAGATGTGTCGATGTTGATGGGAGTTGCCAGGTCTGCACCATAGTGTACTGCAAGAAGGGAAAACAAAGACAAGCACATTCATTCACACAAAAACCACAAGATAACATCTACACAAAAATAACTGCAAAAATCAAAACTGTACCTCCTTTTAAGATGTTGGGTGATGTATCAAATTCCCACTTGATCTTGGTTATTAGGTAGAACAGCTGAGCAACATACCTGCAGTGGGAACATTAAACACATCCAAATATACGGTACTTCACACTACTTTCAAGTCCCAAATGTTTTCAGACTGAACAGTGTTGGTTAAGTTTCTCTTGCCGACTTATTTCCTGGAACAACTTCTGTCTGTCAAAAAGCAGACGGAGTTTTTCCAGATCTTCTCTACATGTTTGCTTTCTGTGCTGATCGGCTTCTATCCATAAGAAGGTGGAGACAACAATCTCATGCTGAATCAACACGTCTATGAACAACTTTACAGACGCTGAAACCTTCATGATCACACCCACCCCCAGCACTGACTGTTCACCTCTCTACCCTCTGGCCGGAGGTTCAGAAGTGTGAAATTCAGGACCTCTAGACTGAAAAACTCTTTCTTTCCCTCTGTCATCAGACTCCTAAACAGCTGAGCAGTTTATTACCAGGAAATATCATGTACTGTTTACATTCTCAGTTTGCACTTTGACTGTTGCACATGCTGCTCCCATGCAGCATACACTCTCTTATTATATTCTTCTATATTTTTATTATACTGCCGCTTTTGCTGCTTAACGTGCCTTAGATTTTGTGTTACTTATTTATCTACTTTATATTTCATTTGTATTTTGTGGCATTCATGTGGACGGCAAAGTAAGAATTTCATTGTACAGGGAAACACGTTTCCTAACTGTGAATATGATGAATAAACACTGACCTACTGTTATTGTATAGTGCTGCTCTTCCAGCAGAGAAAATACTTAATACAGTAATCAACATTTAAATGTGGATTCTCCTGGAAAGGGACAGAAAGAAAAGCAGTTTCATCAGAGGACATACGACTCACATTGCTGAAGGGATGATCTCAGTGGTGTCTTCATTCACCTCACTCTGCAGTGTTTCAAGCTCGTGATCAGTGTTTTTCAGTCTCTCTAGCTCTCCCCTCAGGAACCTGGAGGAGAGTTAAGGATGCCAACAAAGAAAAGGGGAGAATGCAGCAAGAGAGGGATCATAAACCACACTGAAAAGATGCAGACTCTCTTTGCTTTCCTAATAAAAGATATTGTAATTCAGAGTCACTGGTCTGGCTTTTGGCTGTGTACTGCTGCAGCTGCTCCTCCAGGGTCTCCAGCTCCCTCTTCCTTTGCTTCTTCTCCTCCTCCATGTCCAGTAGTCTCTGGCCCACACCTTCCTCAATCAGAGTCTCTTCTGAGGGGAAAGAGAAGCCTGAAGTCAGTCTGTTATTTCAGACAGCAGCTTGCTTTCTGTTGGAAACCTGAAAAATGCTGGTTGCTGCTGCCTTTTTTTTTGCAGTTCTTGATTACAATGGCTTGTTACACATGAATTAGTGGCAGGCTCTGATATCTGGTTCTATTTTGGATTAATCTCTAAGATGGTAAAACATCTGGATTTGTTAAGCTCCATGGCCAAACAACTCCTCTAGCACATCTTTCATTCATATTTGAGCCTTCGTGAATCTGGAGTCTAGTTTGCGTTACATGTGTGACAGATGTTATACTGTGCTCTCTGAAATGTGTAGTGCTGCCAACCAGGCCTCCTGGAAAAAGAGACTGCTAATCTCAGAAGGATACTAAAGAGAAAACAAACAAATAAAAAAAAGGACTGAAAAATAAACTGACAGCTAACTTGCCTCTTAAAATCTCTGTCATGACCTTTTTCGTTTCCATGTGCTGGTCAAAAAGGGCCTGAAGCTCCTCAGTGATTCGTCTCAGGTTCTCAGTTTGGCTGCTGTTGATTAAGGCCACCAGCGACTCGCCCATCTCCTCCAAGTCTTGAAATGTGTGGCCCTGAGCCATTGTGGTGACACTAGTAGCTAGAAAGGGGCAAAAAGAAGAGTGTTTTCTCATGGCAAGGGCACTGAGTGAGAAACCGCCAGGGCAAGTTAAGCTTCACAGTTTCAGCAGGTGGTGGAAGAAATATTCAGATAAGTTACTGAAACAGAAGAGGAAATGCCACAGTGTAATAATACTGCCATGTAACAATCACAATTTTTACGCAAATGCAGCAGCACACTTGTCATTTTAAAATGACATCAAGCTTTTGTTTGACAAAAATGGATGGACATTTTGGGGTGGGGTGACCTACTCAATATGTAGGTTACCCCCAATGGTAACCGTGGTACGTTAGGACCATTGTATCAGAACATTGTATTGTTCAACAGTTTCGGTCAATATAATGCAACACAATACATTAGGTATTCAAATAAAAACATATACGTTTTAGCTTTAGATAAACACAATGCAACAAAATGTTAAGTGATGGTCTTTCTGAAGTGGAGCACAGAAGAACTACTGCCAGTGGTGAACTAACCAGTTCTGCACGTTTCCGCTTAATGACAATTCAGAAGCAAATAATGCGGTTTCCATTGTACTAGGTTAACAACTTTACAGATTCAGATTAAGAATGCAAAAAATAAAATAAACCAAGTGTATTATTTCATTAAAAAAAAAACAACTTAGGCAACCTAATTTAAAATGCAATATCCTGGTACCACCTGTGAAAAGTAATTAAAATTAAGCTCAAAGTTCCATCTGCACAATTAACGTGATGTCCCAGTCGGATCCGTTATTATAATACAATGTTCATAGACCACACTGAATAACGAGTATGTTTACGTTAAGTACATTCAGATACACGTTCTTTTATCCAAGATGCTGAATGCACAACCTTTATTTGTAATGGACTATCTAACGTTGCACAGTGCGAACTACTAATTTAGCATTAAGTTAAATAAAAGATGTAAACACTTATTTCACCACTCGTGCCTCAAAACCGCACTTGAGTAACTTAACAGCAACGTAGAAAGCTAAACATTAGCTAAAATGGAACGAAACCGTGGCTGTCTTGTTCAAAGTTAGCCTAACGTTACAACGTTCACGTAGTGTGCGTTAAAACCAAGCTAATTAAACTATGATAACAATGACACCCACACGCATTACAGCCTAAAATACGCTTATCGATTATCTATGTACCTGGCAAATAAACTTGTATTACAAAGAAATCAAACTTACAGGACGCAATTCAAATTCGGGTGGTAGGCGCGCCACTTTTCTTCTTCGTTCGTCGTTAATGCGTTTCGACCTTCTTCTTCTACTCGGCGTTTTATGGCGATTGGCAAACGACGAAGTGGTGCATTACCGCCACCTCAGTGTAGCTCGGGATCGAACTTTTAACGGTCACCAATTATTTTGTTCAGTTGAACGACAAGCAATGTGAGAGGTGTGGATTTCTTTAGAGAATTCCTGGAAAATAAAATATGTACCATTCGATAACTAACCAGCACTAGTATCTTTTTACTCTTTAAAGAATGAATTCATGTTATATGTATAAAATCCACAATCAAGAAAACGTTTTTGTGAAACCTAGATACAAAACAAAATGTATAAACAGGTTCAATCCCCTAATCTAATGTCATACAGCACACCCCCCCACACACTTTTTAAGTACAATCTGTGTGATGTAAATACTGGTCAGACATAACTGTGCTTGAATTCCTACTATATGCACAACTGTACCTGTGCAAACAGTAATTAAAGAACCTGACTTGACACAAAAACTCAATATCTGTTCTTGCAATTTAAAAATGCTGATCTGATCAAAGTGAGGTAATAATTCTTCCTCATCGATTTAATTCTTACAGCATAAAACATCAACTGTACTCAGTGCAAGCCGTTATCACTTCATGTTGTTCTGCTTGCCCTTCCTCTCCTTTGCCTTTCGTCTCTGTCGGCCGAGCTGTCTGAAGTACAGTCTCTTGGGGTTTAGACCGTATGCCTTCAGTCTGACCTCCCGGCCGCCGATTTTCACCCCAAGGGCTCCTGAGATGAGGCGTCCACTTGAACGCTTGTGCTTCTTCTTGGACCACTTTGGCCTCTCAGTCCTGTTTTTCCCTTCATCTGCTTCTCTCTCCGCAGTCATCTGGGACTCCTCTTCCTGCTTCATCTTCTTCTTGGGTATCAGAACCTCGTCCTGCTCTTCCTCACCCCCTGCCTCTCGGAGAACTCGATCTAGTGTCTCTTCTGTAGGGTTGTTAAACGAGACTGTGTCGCCATTCCCTGCTGCTCGGTCATGTTTCTCAGCATTCTTCACACGATCTCGTCGCTTCTTCCCCAGCTTGGTTTTAGTCTCTGGCTCCTCTTTATCTTCTCTGTAGATTAAATCCAGAGAATTGTTGGTACATATTGGTGGATTTATTATCATGAGTAGGTCAGATTAGTATGATCATCACATTACACTCACTCAGAATAAACAGAGCTCAGGATTTCCTTCTTCTTCCTCTCATTCTGGGCCTTGATTTTATAGTTCTTCAAATCGTTCAGCTCTTCCTTTTCAGCCCTGAGAGAATAAAAGAGGATTAAAGTGTGAAAAGTGACCTGACATCGATGTTACTTCTTTAAAGTCGTGTTAACTTCAGTCATGCTTTTATGTTTTTGGGAAAACGCTGAGCAGACAGTAGCGCCGTCTGTGGTACGCTGGCTCCATGTTGTAGTTCTGTCTCTCATCAGGTCGTATTTATCAGGCTGTAATAAAACTACAAGCCAAACCGACCTGGAACCAGAACATCTACGGTCAGAATTTATCGAACACTCAGCGAGCGCGTTGTGCTGCGTGAGGTAACGTGGCGCGTCTTTATCAGCGGCTGTTTCTGTGACTGTCATCGACCTAGTGTGGGGACGTGCTGGTTTACAGAGACCTGGACTGAAACCACTCGGTGTTTGGCCGGAGCCTGTAAAACACAACAGAGTCACAGCGGCAAGAAAACGCTGACTTTAGGATCTTTGGGTGTAAAGGCACTGGAGTCGCCGTGGACGTTAGAGAAACACACGGCTGTTAGAAGCCGCCTGTGGATGTCTGCCATCACATGGTGTTGTGTGGAGGAGGGGAGCCCAGCACCACCCACTGTGCACCGTCTGGGTCTACACCCACAGTAACACCGAGGGGCTGCCGACTTCACACTTTACACACTGTAGATAAAACCATCAGGGTCTACATCCTTGTTCAGCATGAACACTCAACTGGCTCGTTATATACTATTTTGGCAGTGTGGGCATTAAATAGACTTTCTACATCACCCAGTACAAAAGTCTGAACTCTTCTTAGTTGAAACCTGCAGAAACTAATAAATCTGCAAGTAATCCTAAAACATGTTTCCACTTTATCATCCTGAGTGAGAATGTAGACTGATGGTGAAGCATGGTTACTGTATCCATTCAAAATTAAATGTAAGTGTACAAAAAAGTGAAGCGGTGCAGTACCTGAACATGCAGGTCTTCTTCAGAGAGCACCACCGGTTCAGCTCTTTGTCATCAGCCTTTAAAATCTGAGGGAACAACCAGATTCTTTCATCAGTTCAAGTTAATAAATAACGTGGCCATTTTTTGCATCATCAGATAGATATGTATATATATTTTTTTTAACAGTGTTATCAGATTTAAATCTCTTTTCATTTGCTGCTGCTTTAACCAGAGTGTGTCTGCTCAGAGAGAAGATTAACTTGAGATCATGCCCTGGTCAGAGCCCTCCCCGGAGGGCGGCAATACCAGATCAGTCACTTCATGACTCATCACTGCAGCATTATTCACCAGCGACCTCGGCCTACGTCATGTGAACATGCTCCATGCTCTTTAGTTTTAATTGTATCACAGTTGACTGCCCTCCAGACCCTGACTGGTGGGGGGGTTAGTAGCTGGTGGACAACAGTCCAGGTCTACAGCACAAACCAATAGACTGAACCAGGGTCTGGACTCACACACATTACAATGAGGACGCCACATTCACTGGTGCTGGTCTCTGGATGGGGTTTGTGCACAGTAGCTAAGACATGCAAAACTGGAAATGTACAGTGTGAGAACGGAAGGTCTGACAGGGGGAGCAGCGGGAACCAATGGGGGCGGGGTTTAGAGAATGTCAGATAATTGAAGAGCTACTGTTCTCACCTCACCGGTGGTCAGACCGAAGTCATTTGGCACCACCTGTCTGTAGCGAAACCTGCAGGGGAGGTCGTCTATGATGTCCTCATAGTCCAGGTTATAGTACTCATCCATGTACTGCTCAAAGCTTTTCTCCCCTGAGACACAAACAGACTTAGGTTAGAGAGCAACAACATACCGTGGCGCAACAGTGGACCTTCTGGAATGAGCTGGTTTGTGCATTCATGTGTCATAACATGTGACTGATCTTCATTCAGGTCACACATGCAGAAACACAGTGTGCTTCAGCTAATAACTATAATAATGTCTTTACAGAACATCCTCAAACATGTCAAGGGCGCTGCGTGTACTTCAGTCCGACCAATGAACATGCTCCCAGCAGTGCTGTTTTGTTCTGGAGAGCAGCAGCTTCCTCTGTGGTCACTGCTGTTACCTGGATGACGTTCTGACAAATCCACACACACACACAGAGGCAGGCCCCTGGTTTCCTGACTTACCAGGATCAAACACAGGCTTGTTCTTGGTAATGACCTCTGCAAAGTACGACTTCTTCCTCTTTTTGCCCATCTGTGGTAGATCCTCCTTCTTCAGCTCTTTCTTCCTCTTCTTCTTCGAGGCAGTGTGCTGGGTGGGGTCATAGTCTGCATCCATCTATTCCAACAGAGGGACCTCTAGTGAGCGCGTTACTCTCCACTGACAACAACAACATAGTCCAGCCCATCTCTGCACCACAAAGGCCAATTCATACTTTCCATACAAGCTCACGTGGACACCGAAGAGGCAGGCAGGCAAATACGTCAAATAAAGAGTCCGACATCAGTCCACTCATGTTTTTTTCCACACTGGGCTTTTTTTTTTTTTTTTTTTTGACCAGACACAAATGTGTGGCCTGCACGTGGACGTCCGCGCTGAGTCCTTACAGACCCTCGCAGACCTGGAAGCATGATGACATTTACATCACTAGACCGTTGCAGACACGTGGATGTGGAAAGTATGAACTGGCCTTAACTGTGACCAGCTGAGGTCCAAGATGGAGATGATGCTTGTGGGAAAAGTGATTAGACTCACAATGAAGTTTTCATCCTCACAGTGTGGTTCTGAGGCATCGAATTCCTCTCCACCACACTCCTCCTCCTCCTCCTCTCGTCCCTCTCCCGTCCATGTGTCCCAGTTCCAGTGCTCTGTGCACACAAGCAGCACAACAAGGGTTCCATCGTCACACAGTGTCAGACATTAATGCAATCAACAACTGACATCTAGAGAAACTCTGTGACAGTATTGATTCATGTCCATTTGTTTGTCTTTTACATCATTGCTTAGTTTTCATTTACTGACAGAGGACGTATAACATTTCATCACCGTTCTCTTTTAAAGTGTCACTTCTGTTTTCCTTTTATTCTGGCTTGTATCACACTTTCATTGACAACATGAGAGCAATGCTCTGCAGGGGCAGGTCACCACATGCACCCGCCCCGTTTCCTCTAGTCAGAGAAAATGAAGCAGGCTCATCAGTGGTCAGAGAGGCCACCGAAGACTTTTCATTAACCATGTATTAATTCAGTTTTTGGCAAAAAGGTAACACTGCACTGGAAAATGCTGCATCAGCCAACATGCAGGAAACACAGACTTACCCTCGAGCTCATCATCCTCAAACTGAGGCTTTTCTTCTTCTTCTTCTCCATAGTATTCGTCTCCAAAGAACTTCTGATAAAAACAAAAGCAAAAACAATGACGACTTTAAATCTAACTAGAAAATGAATGTATTGATGCATTTAATTAGCATATTGATGAATGCTGTAACCTCTGACTCCTCAACACTGTTTAATCCATTCTTAGCACTTTTGTTTGTGTGTTCAGTCTTGGAAAAGCTCAAAGAACAGACACCGCCCTCCAAACATTGAATGTCCATGTACAGTAGACCCACGTACACCATGTCAGCGGCTGGGGACCCTGCATCATCGCGCTGTGAATGCTAGTGGCTCATTGTCCACACAGAAACTAGCTAACGATGCCACCAGATCATGCAACTGTGCGCTGTGAGCAGACGCCCACCTGCATGAGCTGGTCGTGTTGCTGCGGATCAAAGTCTCCGTCCAGGTCGGCCTGACTGAAGGCGAGCTGCTCGTTACCCGTCAGCTCCTGCAGCCTCTTCAGCTTCTCCATGATCTCGTTTCTCTTCAAGTTCTTCAGCTGCTTCAGCTGCTCACGCTTCTGCTCCTTCTCCTGAAATGGTTGACAGGAAAGAGACTTACATTAGCTAACAAACCAAGGCATATCATTACTATGGAGAAGCAGAGGAACTTAAGCTTTATGTTTAGGGACCAGGAGCTTTGTTATTTTCTGCTGTAAATGTGTTTCAGACCTTATGCTTCCTTTCTTTCACTTCCTCCCTTTTGCACTTCCTGCGGTCGTCTTTGGAGCGCACAGATGTGGCGATGTTGCGGGGGTACGTCCTGATTTGATGAGCATCAGGCTCCTCAAAACGGAAGTTGTAGCTTCTCTCAAAATCCTCCTGGCGCTCCAAGAAAGTTTCCCCTTCTTCTTCAGAATCATCCACATCGTCCTGCACCACTTCATCGTATGTTGGGATTCTGAATGTATCAGGAGAGTTTAGTGTAAAAGCACAATGTGTCTACATTATGACACACACACCCCTGAGCAATATCACTAACATGTTAATCACAATTCTTGTCCATCTCATACAGTTTTACTTGTTTGTAGCCCAAGAAGAATGAAGCCAATTCATTTGAGAGCAAATATTAGATTATTGGTTCCTTCCTGAACAGTGCGTCTGTGTTGGTGGACCGGTCCAGTGTGCCGTCCAGTGCAGACCCAGGTATCTGTAAGTCTGGACAACTTCCACACCGACCCCCTCAGAGGACACCGGCTTCAGGTGGGGTTTGGGCCTCTGGAAGTCTGCTACCATCTCTTTGGTTTTGGAGGTGTTAATATGTAGCTGGTTATCACAGGTGGAGACACTGTTACTGCAGTGAGGTAAACATTTTGGGCCTGTATCTTCGCTGTGGTCTAACCAACCTTGTGTGATCATTCATACGATCAAATACCTAAACTTCAGTTTAGAAATATAATACAAGGTGGCAGTATTTTGAATCATTTAACATGTTAGTGACATTCACAGGATGAGAATGCTTCATCTTTCCTTCACTTCAGCAGCAACATACCGCTCATCCTCCTCCTCCTCCTCCTCATTAAGGTAGCCTTTGTTCAGGACGTAGTCTCTCAGGAATCGCTCCTTCTCATCCAGCTCAGGGTCATTCCAGTAGTCTCTTAAATATTTCTGTTACAACACAAACACCTTCCATTATTGAGCAAGTTCAGTTCAAGACTCATTTCCCCCAGTGTGCTTCCTCAGACTCACCATATCCTTGACCTCTGCTGGGCCCTCGAGCTCAGCCTGACCTTTTAGCCATTCCACATAATCTGCCTCCTCTTTGTCCTACGAGCAGAAACAAACACACGTATCCAGCTCTGTAATGCTTTTGCACATCACCATTTCAATACGAGCAGCAGCTGGTACTAGCGTCCAACCTTCTCTTCCTGCGTTTTGATCCTCCTGGTGAGCAGCTGGGATCCTCCGCCGTCCTCACCGCCCTCATCATTGTCACTGTCCTGGACGAACTCACGGAAGCTGAACAGAGGTTTTGGTTTCTGTGAATAGTCTGAGTAATACCATCGAATCGCTTCAAGCAGTTGAGGTCTTACCTTTCCTTCAGCTCCCTCTGCTCCTGGATGTAGCTCGGAGAGGCTGCTCTCTTTAAAGGAAACCATGGTCATTAGAGAAACATCAGACATAAGTGGAGATCTCAACCTCCTGAGGGAACTCGGTTATTTTCTAGCTTTATCTACCTCTCGTCTCTTGGCGGCCTCCTCGTCGTCGCTGTCATCGTCATCTTCATATTTACTGTAAAATGAAACAATTTGGGTGAATTAGAGTGATTCTTAGAAGTTCACATAAGAGTACAAACTTCACAAGTGTTTGGAAATAAAAAGGCAACATATGAACATCTGTCTTAAATCCATTTTAAATAAACAAATTGTTAAACAAACCCATCGTTTGTATGCCTTTCCCTCCATTTCGTATCACCTATGACAAAAATGAGCAGCAAGTCCTGACATTTGAGAAGCTAGCAGAGCGTGCACGTGCTTTCTGTTTGCATCCCGCACAAATAAACAATATATATGTATGACATATTCATTTGCTGCCAAAACACGTTTCTTTAACGTGCTGATCGTGTCTCTGCCTGAACCTGCAGATCTCTCCTGAATTTCAGCACAGATAACAAGTGATATTTAAGAAAGGACCAAATGTGAGAAGCTTGGCTGTCCAACAGTGTAAATGATGACATGTCAGCAGCTCACCCTTCTTTTTCCAGGATGACCTGGCGTTCATAGTCCTTGAGATACATGGGCTTCACTGCTTTCTTCGAGGTTGAAGGCTCCTCGTTACTGGTGGAGGCACCTGAAAATAACAGACTGAGATCAGTCTCTCCAAAAGGTGTCCACGAGACAGTGAAGGCAAAGCCAAATGTTGCATTTAATATAAACCAGTATAATAAAAATATAACTAAATTAAATCACCTTCTGAGTAGAACTTTGCATCTTTCTCATAGATCTTCGGGTCTTTCTTTTTCAGCAGTGACAATGTTCTGTAAAAGTCCCTCTCAAGTTCAGGATCCAGGTCCTAAAGAGGAAAGTAAGTCAGGGCACTTCACTGACACCGTCATCCAACACTGATGGACACATATGGACACTTAGGATCTTAACCATACATATCTGCATGAGTAGATGAGTTTGTCCTGAAGACATTTAAAAAGGCCAGTTACTTTCTGACTTTTAACACATTTACACACATTTCACTTCGTATTTGTTGGTTAACAGGTGTAGACCGACGCCAAAATGGCAGTTTTATCCATTTAAAATTAAGAGATGTGTTAGATGCTAACCACTTCGCTGTCTTCAGAGCTGGACTCAGACTCGGAGTCACTGTCCTCTGCTCGGTCTCCGTATCGGTCCTTCACTGCGCAACACAACAAACAAAACAATATACTCACAAATAACAGCGTCGGTAAACGGTACACAACTCACAGCTGACTGCGCGGCCCCACGTTGGGTCGCTAGCATGCTACTTTATCTGTCAGCTAGCCGGTCCAACTTACGCCTCTGGAGCTCTTCTTTCTGCCGGTATTTCTCATATTTCTGCGCGAATTGGGAGTTGATTTTCAGTTCCAACTTCCCTGACATGTTGTACTGAAGAAAGCGGACTTAAGCTCTGACTAAAACTACAAACGTGTGAAGAGAAGTCTTTCCCGTGGATAACGACGAGAGCAGAAAGCTGAACCACGTGATTTCCGGTGTATATTTACGCCCCGCTCCTTTATTGGGGGGGGGTGTACTACCACCAAGCTTCAGCAGCTTCTTGTTGTTCTTCTTCTGATGTTTATTGGCGGTTTGCATGTCAGCTTAAGGTGCATTACCGCCACCTGCTGGAGCGTGGAGCAACCACAGAGCCTAGCACGAATCTCATCAAATGATTTTCAACTTTATCAACGTTGCCCGCCATTTTAGCCTTCAACATAACATTGGTAACTAAGGCAGGCATTAACAGAGCTGCAGAAAATGTTATTGATGTTAATATTCTTCAGGAAAACCCTTAATTTGGGGTGGGGGTGGCTGTGGTTGGTGGGGGTGTTCTGTAACAGAAACAAATTCCTTGTTTGTAACATACTTGGCCAAATAAAGGTGGTGGTGTTATTTATTCATAAATATTCTCAACATTTTTGGCTCAGAACCAGGGTTTGGATTACACTGCCAAAGCAAAAAACAAAAACAACATACATAGTATAATTGTACTGAAGCCTATTCCTATACTGCTGAGTAGCTGGTGAATTTCCCACCAGGGATCAATACAGTCTGATGACTCTACTGTATTTTGTTTGATTCATCTGATTCTGAAAAGACTCTAAAGTTATCAAATAGTGCAGTAGAAAGTACAAGGTTTGTCTCTGAAATGTAATGAAGTACGAGTATGAACTAGTAGAATCAATGTCTGATTACTGTCCTGTAGATATTCTGAAATGTTATGATTGGCTGTCAACCCTCACTGTGTTTCATTGTCTGTAAATCTGCCTCTGACCTTTATACTAGTTAATATTTATAGGGGTATGTGTGTGGGGGGGAGGGATACACATGTTGAACTCATCTAACTCATCTGACATAGTCAGCCAAGAGACATAGTCCCTCCAGCGTGTCCTGGGTCTTCTCCGGGGCCTCCTCCCGGTGGGACATGCCCGGAACACCTCCCTAGGAAGGCGCCCAGGAGGCATTCGAAACAGATGCCTGGAGCCACCTCAGCTGGCTCCTCTCAATTAGAGTTCTACCCTGAGCTCCTCCCGGGTGACCGAGCTCCTCAGCCTATCTCTAAGGGTGCCTTGGCCACCCTACGGAGGAAGCTCATTTCGGCCACCTGTGTCTGGGATCTTGCCCTTTTGCCCATAGGTGAAAGGACGAAAACCGCATTGCTCCTCCTGAATTCGAGGTTTGACTATTGGTCGAATTCCTCTCTCCAGTACCCTGGCATAGACTTTTCCAGGGAGGCTGAGGAGTGTGATCTCCCTGTAGTTGGAACACACCCTCCGGTCCCCCTTCTTGAAAAGAGGGACCACCACCCCAGTCTGCCAGTCCAGAGGCACTGTCCCCAACCACCATGCGCTGTTGCAGATGCGTGTCAGCCAAGACAGACCCACAACTTAATGTCACTTAAGACTTAATGTACTCAGGGCAGATCTCATCCACCCCCAGTGCCTTTCCACCAAGAAGCTTGTCAACTACCTCAGTGAATTCAGCTTGGGTAATAGACAAGTCCACCTCTGAGCCATCAGCCTCTGCCTCCTCACCAGAAGACGTAACACCAGGGTTGAGGAGATCCTCAAAGTGTTCCTTCCACCGTCCAACGATGTCCCCAGTTGAGGTCAGCAGCTGCCCACCTCCATTGTAAACAGTTTTGGCAGGGCACTGCTTCCCCCTCCTAAGTAGCCGGACAGTTTGCCAGAATTCCTTTGAGGCTGACCGATAGTCCTTCTCCATGGCCTCACTGAACTCCTCCCAGACCCAAGTTTTTGCCTCCACAACCACCCGAGCTGCAATCCGCTTGGCCTGCTGGTACCCATCAGCTGCCTCAAGAGTCCCACAAGCCAACCAGGCTCGAAAGGTCTCCTTCTTCAGATTGATGGCATTCCTTACTTCCAGTGTCCACCACTGGGTTCTTGGATTGCCACCGTGACAGGCACCAGAGACCTTACGGCCACAGCGGCCAATCACACCCCTCCAGGTGTCAATGTTGTCGCCCATGTGAGCATTGAAGTCCCCTAGTAGAACGATGGACTCCCCAGTCGGAGCACTTTCCAGCACCCCTTCCAGAGACTCCAAGAAGGCCAGGTACTCTGCACTGCTATTCGGCCCATAGGCACAAACAACAGTGAGAGACCTATCCCCAGCCCGAAGGAGCAGGGAAACAACCCTCTCATTCACTGGGGTAAACTCCAACACATTGTGGCTAAGCTGGGAGGCTATAACTTCTCTGCCAGTTTGCCACTCAATGGCTTTCTTGACTTTGCCATAGGTGCCTCTTCCCAGTGTCTCCAGAAGCTGGTAGCGGTGTTTCAGGTTATGCTTGTAATGGTGTTTCTTCATGCCCGACTTTTTTT